AGGTCAGCTGTTACCCGTGTTGAGGAGCCCTGCTGTGTGAGAAGTTGCTTTTCATCCTACTTCAAAGATTCTTTCTTTGTCTTTAGCTTTTTTGACAGTTTGATTTTGATCGTCTAGGTCTTGATCTCTTTGAATTTATCCTACTTGGCATTCATTGAGCTTCATGAATGTGTGTTTTCAGTCATTTTTTTCATACATTCTTTCTACCCTTTCACTTTCCTCCCCATCTGTGGCTCCGTTGTGCGCGTTGTGCTTAGTGTGTCCCTCAGGTCTCTGAGGCTCTGTTCATTTTTTCTGTTCCTCAGATGGAGTAATCTCATTTGTCTGAACTTCTGATTTCCCGATTCTTTCTTCTGACTGCTGTGATTTACCTTTGAGACCCTCACGTAGATCTTCTGCTTCAGTTTTTTTACCCAGTTGCTTTTAAATTCCAGAATTTATATTTGGTTCTTTTAAAAAAAGTAGTGTCTATTGCTTTATTGATATTCTTCATGAGATGCTATTCTCATACTTTCTTTTAGTTATTTACACATGGTTTTCTTTAGTTTTTTGAGTATATTTATAATAGCTGATTTATAGACTTTCTACTAAGTCCAGATCTAGACTTCCTTGGGGACAGATTTTATTGTTTGCTTTTGTTTCATGTGTATGGGCTATCTTTTCTTATTTTAGTGACTCTTTTGTCATTTTTTTGTTGAAAATTAGCATTTTAAATAACAGCGTGGCAACTCTGGAACTCAGATTCTCCCTTTTCCTCATGGTTTGTTGCTGTTGGTACTTGATGTGATTGTTCTTGGTTTCTTTGATGACTCTTCTGAACTAATTTTATAAAGTCTGTATTCTTTATTGTGTGTGGTCAGTGAAGTCTCTACTTGTTGAACTTAGTGATCAGCAAATGATTGGACAGACTTTGTTAAACACCTAGAACCAGTGAATTTCTCTCCTAAGGGACTCCATTTACGTATTAGGGCCTGCCTTTAACACTTAGCCTAGCAGTTGAAAATTTTGCCTTAGCCTCCACTTGCGCATGCTGAGTCTCAAAGTTGGCCAGTGGTGAGAGGTTAGGACCTCACCGAAGGGCTTTTTCTAAGCCTACACATGGTCTGCACATTCATGTGTCTCAAGTTTTCAGAATCTCCATGGATATTATATTCCACAACTTTTCCTTTTATTTGCCTCAGCTGTTATCCACTATTTCAGTCAGCTGTGAAGTTAAAATACTTGCCTCTAATTGTTTTCAACAAACACTTCTTGGGGAAAAAGGCTTTTCTGAGTCCATTTAAAAATAGCCTAACAAGTGGGGTCTTCTAGGGAACCATCCCACAGCTCAGGTAATCAGAGTTCTTTGGGAATGAAGCTTTGAAGGAGCTCTAGGTCCTTTGTGCTCCCTCTGATGGCTGCCAGGCTGTACTGGGAATGTGGATTACCAAGGGGCTAGAGAGTGAGAATGGATCTAGGGCTAAGTTAAAATGTCATAAAGCTTGTTTTTCATGAATAAATGCTCTCTGGGTTCCTGCAAACCTTTGGTTAGTTTCCAAAGTTCAGAAAAAGTACATATTGACAGTTTTTGCCAATGTTCTTGTTGCTTTTTTGAAAGAGAGCTTTTTTGAAGGTGTTACTCTACTATTTTCATTTTTGGATCAGGAATTTCTTGGGTAGCTTTTTGTTTTCCTGGTGTTTCTTGCTTTCTTTTTAACTTGTAAAAAATAGTATCCTTTCATCGTAATGTCCAAATCACCCAGACTCACTAGTACAGTGTAGTTGTCTAGAATGGCTTGTCCTGAAGTCCTGTCACCTCTGATTCCAGTCTGGACCAGTTGTGTTTCAGTTCTGTTGTATAGCTCCCATCCTGGAGCTTCCATTCACTGTACTTCTAGATTAAATTCAGTGTTTTGGATCCCTTTTGGATCTTCCTTTCACACCCAGTTTTATTAAGATATAATTGACATATAACACTGTATTAGCTTTAGGGTATAACATAAGGCTTTAATATCTGTATTGCAGAATGGTCCTCATGGTAGGATTTGTTACACTTGTGACTGTACGTAGAGTTTTGTGTGTGTGCGATGAGAGTGTCGGAGTTCTTCTCTCTTAGCAGCTTCTGCATGCGTGGTGTACCGTGTTGTGAGCTGCTGTCACCATGCTGTGCAGGAGGTCCAGGCCCCACTGACCTTCTTACTGGGTGTTTGTGCCTTTGGCCCTCTTCTCCCCTGGTCTTGCTCTGGTTTGTTTTTTTCCCTCATTTTGCTGGGCTGTTGCCTCAAGGAACTTTTTCAAGGTACGTTGTAAGTAAGGGATTCTTGAATGTCTTAAATTGTAGTTATTTTAAACTTCCCCATATTTCATGGTTTGGGTGTGAATGCAAATCTAACTTCAAAAAAATTCTCCCCTTAGCAGATCGAAGGTATTGCCTGCCTTTCGTCCTGTGTCCGGTGTTACTGTTTCTAGAGATCTCTTCTGTTCAGGTTCTTGTGAGTAAACTTTTATCCTGGTCTTTGGAATTTTTAGGGCCATAGTTTGGATTCTTGGTGTTCTGAGCGCATGCACCTTGTGTGCGTCGTGTTTCGGTCCTTCTGCACAGCTCTTGGTGCGCTTTTGTCCTAAGGCACGTTTTCCTCCACTCGGGAGCATTGTCTTATTGCTGGATGGTTTCCTGCCACCCTCCCCACCCTCTCTGCCCGGATCGGTCCTTGTCTCTACCTTTATGTTTTTTGACTTTGTTTTCCAGTCTTTTTTATTTTTTAAGATTCTGTTTTAGCCTCTGTATATTTAATTCTAAGTGGTGTGTGTATGTGATTGTTCTATTTTCATATTTCATTTTAGTTCCATAGTCACACCTCTCACACCTCCCTGAGGATATATACTGGAAATACTTTAGAATTTCCTTTTTTCCTATTCATCCTGTAGTCTTTGTTTTTTGTTTTTTTTTTTTTAAGTCTTTGTTTTTTAATGTTGCTGGTTTAAGGATGCCTTTCTTAATTCCCTGGTAGTTTTTTTGTTTTTTTGTTTTTTTTTTAGTTAAAAAATATATCTTCTCTATTCTTTTGAGTAGGGGATGGTGTTGATGGTTTCTCCATTATGTATCCTGAGGTCTGCTACTCTACGGCTGCTGAGAGCTGAGGGGCCGACTGGCTAGCCTTATGTACAGCACATGGGGGCGACCACCCGCGCAGTCCCCTCAGACTGCTGGTTGGTGTCTCTGGAGCACAGCCCCCGTCAGTCTGTACCACAGTGGGGTACTATCCCTTCTGATGGGGCTGCGATAGCTGTCCCAGCGCTGACTCTGAGCGGGTCTGCTCCCGTCCTCCCTACCTGCCGACCGCCAGCCGGAAGCCCCTCGCAGCTGAGGCTTCCAGATGCAGACCAGCAGACCTTTCGCCCGTCCCTGCTCTTCTCCTTGTCTCATTTCCTCCTCCCTCTTCCTCCCTTGCATTGTCTGAGGGCGGTTTTCTCTTTGTGCCTTGTTCCTGTCGTTTCTGTGGGTCACAGAGGCTGGGACACACACGATCACCCTTCCCAGAGTGACATCTCGAACTGGAAGCGTCTCCTGTCTGGGCCCCCTTTGGTGCTTTGGCTCATCCCCTGTTGTGCAAGCCTTGCGGTGTGAGAAGCTTGCCCAAATTTGGAAATGACCGTGTTATGTAAAGTTGGCTGGGAGGATTTTATTAAAGTGAGCTTGCTTCTGGGGCGCCTCCACCGCACATCCAAGTTCATGGTCAGGGACACCGTCTGGGAGTGTGCCAGGCTGCTGTTGAGTTGGCCGTGGGATGCCGAGTAAGCTGCGTTGGGCCTGTGTCCTTACAGAGCCAGCCGAGTGAACGGGACACCCGCAGAGGTGGGGTGAGGGGGCAGCTGTGCCCACAGGACACCCCTGCCCCGGGTTTGGGCGCACTGTGGGCCGTGGGTCACTCCGCTCCATAGGAGCTCTTTCGTCCCCGCCCGCTCAGTCCAGGAGCTCCTGCTGTCTTGCCAGAGAGCCGCCTGACGGTGCCGACTCCAGAGCTGCAACCCTCCACGGCCCATCTTCCACGGGAGGGCATTTGCAGTGCAGTTAGGCTGCGGGAGCTGAGCTCCAGTCCTCCGGAACTTGGAGAGTTCCTGCTCAGTGCCGGACGAGCGTTCAGCGAGCACTTACCAAGCCACGTGGGAGGGTCGTCTCCAAACAAAAGCAGATGGAGTGCCCCCCCCCCCGCCCCATAGGCCTGAGTTCTCCCTTCCAGTGTCTGTTCGGGTAATGCACGCATTATGCAGATGCTGTCATAAAAAGATTCTGTGGTATAGACACACATTTTAGAGTTTAAAAAGAATTGAAATGGCGTAGCGACGAGTTCTGCGTTCTTTCCTCTTCCAGTTACTGACCTGACGGACCTCCAGGGGTTCACGAGCTTTGGACGCTGCCAGCCAGGGTCCCAGCAGGTCCCAGTGTGGTTGTGGAGACAGATGACAGGGAAGAAGGGAGAGACTGTCCAGGACAAGTGTCCCCAGTGAGAGGATGGTGAACTGAGAGGCTGGGTTTTTCAAGAACAGGGTGCCGGCCTCACTGTCCCCGGGGAGGGCACAGTGGCTCACGGCTGGAGACCGGGCAGGCATGTGGGGGTTCGGCCCTCCTGGGCATCCTCCGGGGCTGTGCTGCTGACGAGGCCTGACAGCAAGGTGGGGGTAGGAGGCACCCCCACACCTGCACCAGCCATGCTTGCTTTCCGCCATGGGCATTGGTCTCCCCTTTGGAGAAGGGATTTCCTTGGAAAACCAGCAGTTTTCCCTGTGTCGTCATTGCGCATGTTGAAACAGAACTTCCAGTAACATTCTCTTGAAGGAGACGGCGGTGTGCGGGCTGCTGCCGTGCTTCTGGGTGGGTGGGACGCTCTTCGTCCAGAATGCCCATGGGTCCCCAGGACGGCCTTGCCTCCCGCTCCTCTGTGGTATGCAGCCAGGTCCTGCTTGGGAATGTGCCGGGCGCCACCGTCCCAGCAGAGTGACTCCCTTCTGCTCCGTTCCAGGTCTCGGTGGCCCTGAGCAGCAGCTCCATCCGGGTGGCTGTGCTGGAGGAGGATGGGGAGCACGTCCTCATGGAAGGGAAGTTCACGCACAAGGTCAACACTGAGAGCTCCCTGTGGAGCTTGGAGCCCGGCAAGTGCGTCCTGGTGAGTATGGGCATCGGTGCTGGAGCTCAGGGAGGGGGTAGGGGCCGCACCACCGCGAGGCCTGGATTCTCGCTGTCTGGGGTACAGCTCGGAGGCGCCCTTGCTGGCCTCGGCCCCGTGGGGTCGCAGCAGGTGGTTCTCTGGAGTGGAGCCGTTGTTAAGGTGAAGTGCCTGGTCCTCCGTCCTTGCCCCCCATGGTGGCCATGCGTGGTGACCACGGCGGAGCTCCTGCGTGGTCACCCCCAGAGCGTGGCTGTGCCTGCGTGGGATGCCCCCTCAGTCCCAGAGGCTTCCGCTTGCCCGTGACCTGGTTACATCTGAGGCAGAACCAAATGAGTGAAAAATTGAAAGGCAGATCGGATTTCATGGACGTCCTCCCGGAGGGTGCAGAGCCGGCAGGTTCACGCAGACGGGCTCATTTGACAGAGGGGAGCTCAGCGACCCGCGCTCCTTGGGGCTGCAGAAGCCAAGCAGAGAGCTCTCTAGTGCTCCCGTTCCAGGCGTCTTCGGTGGCCCCGTGCCTCTCCTTAGGGCCTCACGCGCAGTCTGCTGAGAGGGTGCAGGTCGTCAGGGACAGACCAGGTCAGGTCCGTGACAGAACCTCAGGGTTTCACACAGACCCACTCCTCACATGCGCTGGAAGCAGGGAAAGGAAGTTTCAGTTTCACGTTCGCGGGCCGGGCGCCCGCGGGGAGGGGTCTGCCGTGCAGGGGTGCTGGGGAGTGCTCACGGGGCCCTCTGCGTGATGAGGACACCAGGTCGTGGGCACAGGCCAAGTCCACCTGCTCTTGTTCTCAACCTTGCTTTGTGCCCAGTCCTGCCCTCCGAGGCCCCTGGTCCTCTCTGGGGGAGTGGGACAGTCGTCGTCTCTCGCTATCACGCCATGCCTCCGTGTCCCCCAGTACACCTGAACCGTTCCCATGTTCCGGCCCTGTGGCCAGTCGTATCTCAGGGCCCTCCCGCCTGCAGAGTGCTTGCACAGGCCTGGCCTGCCTTGTGCTTCATGGGGTTGTGGGAGGTAAAGTCAGGGTCTCCTCACTGCCGCACCCCAGCCTCCCAGCGGCCAAAGGCTCATCCCATCCTAGTGGAGCTGCAAGACCCGAGATCCAGGGTGCTGCTGCCCGCGGACAGGGTGGGGGGTGGCTCCCGAGCAGCGCCCCCGAGGGAGGCCCAGGGGCACCCGGTCGCTGTGCGCCCATGAGGAGTACATCTGGGAAGCCAGCAGCACGCTGTCTGCTGTGGCACCACTGCCAGGATGTGTGAGGCGGCAGCCCTGCGCACATGGGCTGGCCGCGCGCTCGCTGGTGCTTGAGGCTCCCGGCCGTTGCCCTGGTGGCCGTCAGGGTCGCCGCCCGCTTACTGTCTGTTACCGCTGTGGGATCCCTGAGCTCGTCTGGTCCAGCCTTCGGTTGGTAGAGATGACTTGTGACTTCGTCACGGCCGTGTTGCCATTTTCTGTGTTTTGCGTGTGAGTGCCTGGACACGGCTGTGGCTCGTGGCAGATGGTGAGCTCCTTGTCACCTGGCTGCCACTTCTGAGTGCACTTGGGGCCCGTTTAACTTCCCAGAAGCTCGCCTCACAGACGGGGACACGGAGGCACCACAGGATTGTGACTCACCCGAGGCGGAGCCCAACCTTTGCCCCAAAGCCCACCTGTTCCCTCCCTCTCTGCCTCCGGCTGTGGCTGCAGGGTGCCCCGGGGGTGGGGGGGAGCGCATGTGCGGCCGGCCCAGGGAGGCCTTCCTCCCGTCCGCCTGCATGGTGTCCTGATGCCACCGGCCTTCCTAGTTTGCTAGTTCAGCCAAGCGGAGCTGGCCGTGGGCAGAGGCCACTTGGCACTGCCCATGAATGTGACTTCTGGGAGTGTTCCCCACTGACAGGGTCCCCGTGTGGGAGCCCTCGGGGGCACGGGTGCTGGACGGGTTCCTTCTTGCAGGCCCCAGAGCAGCTTGACTGTCAGCAGCTGGCACTGTGTGTGCAAGGGCCTCACCACTTGCCTGTGCTCCCCCCGAGCTTGCCCGTCGGCACAGCCCCGGCATAGTGGGTGTGCTCTGTGCATGGGATGTGGGGCTTCTCCCTGCTTCCCCTCCCGACCACGGGCCATATTCTGGGCTTCTTGGCTCATTTGTTGGTGGTGTTTGGGGTCACATATCTGAGATGGTACCGCAGCTGAGCAAGCACGTTGCTCTGACGTGTGAAGACCCTCACTGCTTTTGCTGCTGGGGGCATGTGCCACGTCCCTGGGGCCTCGGGGGCGGGCGGTGGAGCTGCCACACCTGCCACAAACCTCAGCTCCACTTGGCACTGCCTGGCTTTGGTAGTCCCGTGAGCTGCACGGGACCTCTGCTCCTGACCGTTAGGGTGAGGCTGAGAGCCTTGGTTGGTCCATCCGCTGACATCTCTAGATTGCTGACGGTTCAGGGCCAGGCCCTGTGATGGGCACGAGGGCTGCTGAGGAACATGTCAAGGGCCAAGGGCTGTAGCGGGCCGCGACGAGCTCCAGTGTCCTCGCCAGAGCCTGGAATCTGCGAATGGGACCTTATGAGAGAACAAGAGGGAGGCTGGGGACAGAGGAGGATGCGCAGGAGGACTGGCGTGAAGACAGGCAGACGCTGGGGAGATGCAGCCACCGCCTGTCCCTGGAGACCTCGGGAGGGAGTCCAGCTCTGCAACACCTCGATGTTGGACTTCTGCCCTCTGGACTCAGAGAATACGGGGCCCCGAGGGACAAGACTGCCTTGAGGGCCTCGTGGACCACTAGGGGTGACCCAGAGTCTATGGACCCTGGGCCTCTGACCTCCCAGCGGCCGAGGCCCTCGTCCCCGAGTGGATGCGCATCAGACACGCCCGGCAGGCTTCCCAGCAGGCAGGGGTGGCAGCTAAAACCGGATGACAGCTCTTGCCTCCCTCCCTCCCACACTCAGGAATGTTAAACAAGGCTCCTTGCCTCTCAGGCAGGCTCCTTTCTCGGCTCAGAGACGTGGAGTCAGCGCCTCCCCCGTGCCATGCTGTCCCAGAGGCGCCCCGGCGCCCTGTCCTTGTTTCCCCCCAGGTGGTGCCAGCGGCCCCCTCTGCTAGGGCGGGACCCTGCCCGGCTTATCTCTCGCCGAGCATGTGTGTGCCGTGGACCCCGAGTGTGCGCGTGCGGGCTGTGCCCCCACATTCTCAGATGACTTAGGTCGTCCCCTCAAGTTCGGTTCTCGGCAGTGGAGCTATTGGCTCACCATAGTCTTTGGCCATGTGCCAGCGGACGCGCTCCTGCGCCGTGTGTGGGGTCGCCAGTCCCTGCGCAACCCTAACTTACCGTGGCTAGGCTGCCCGCCCTCCTTCCTCTGTCCCGCTTGGTCTCCTGGTGAGAAGTGCTGTCCTGTCGCTTGTCTCCTCGGTGGCTGGCAAGGTCACAGAGCGTGCATCATCCGTCCCGGCGATGGGCTTGGGGACCTCTGCGTTTTGGCGAGCGCTGGAAGCCTGGAAACCCGTCCACCTAAAGGCCTTCGGCACTCGGGATGGTCAACACCGTGGCTCTTCCCGATCAGCTATTCCGGAAAACACTGGGAAACGGGCACGCGGAAGGATGGCGGCATCTTTGGGCGCGGAACCATGAGCCAGCACCACAGCAGTGCACCCCTTCCTGCCTGCGACCGTGGCTGCTGGGTGGGGCGGACCGACCGCGGGGATAGCATGCTGAGTGCAAGCGGCGGGGCGGGGGGTGCGCAGGGCACCTGGTGTGCGTGGTGGGGGAGGGGAGCGTGATGACACGGTGGCGTGGGGCTCCTTTCGGGGTGAGGACGGTGTTCTGAAGCAGACAGCGGCGGTGTTTGCCCCACACCGAGCGCTCAGCGCACTGAATTGCTCGTGTTGGAACCATCAGCTGATTTCATCTCGAAACGTGGTGTTTTTAAAGGTCATGCTTGGCTTCTCTTGGATTTTGTTGGGTTTGCGAAGTGCCCGTGCAGGCAGCAGGGCCCAGGAGGTCCTTGTTGGCAGAGTCGGCCTGTCCTGCCCGGGAACCGTGTGGTTCTCCGTCCATGTGGAAGGGCCGGCGGCGGAGCTCCTGGCAGTGTGGGGCTAACCCCCGCCGTGGCCTTGGGAGAGGGGAGCTGATGGCCACAGCGCAGCTCTGCCCTTAGCCCTGCACATTTGGGTGTGTGAGGTGCTAACTCTGGGGTGTGTGCGGTGCCCTCGACAGGGTGACGACAAGGGGGCCTGCAGGTGGGAAGAGCCTGAGGGTCTCTGTCCCCCAGAGGGAGAGCGGCCTGGAAGCGCCTCGGAGTGCCGTCCAGGAACAGAGGACCAGTGAGGCCTCTCCCCCAGGGGGCTCTCGCGCGTTGGAACGCAGATCTGCGTTCGGTGGAGGTGGGCTGCGTCCTCGACACTGGGCTCTCAGCGGGCCGGGTCAGGGCCCCGCACACAAACTGGGGAGCAGAATCCGGGAGAAGCGGCTAAACGGAGCACTGCAGACGCCGGCCGTGGCATTGGCAGGGAGCAGTCCCTCGTCTCCGAGCCTGCGGCCTCATGCTCCCGTCTTCAGGCGCCACACCTGCTGGGGTGCTCGGCAAGGGGGAGGCGTATTCCATCCTCGGACGTTGACACCCTGCTGTTACCCGGACTCCCTCTCGTCGTGTGGCCTGCCCTGTGTCTGTGCCTGCACCCTGAGTCCTTCTGCAGGACTGGGATGGAGCCCTGCTTTGGTGGCCGGGGCCCGACGTTCGGGGGGGCTGGGCTCAGGCACATGGCGTTCTCACAGCCATCCCTGGTACGGGCCAGTTCTGGACCTGTGGTGTCACAGTTGCCCTCTGGCCAAGAACCCTCTCCTTGGGGTGCTGCTCTGAGTGACAGCTAACCCGGCGCAGGCCCGTCTTACCCGCCCTGCCTTCAGGGTGTGATTGGGGGTTTTGTGCTTTTGGAGACTATGTGGACAGTGGGCCACCCGCCAGCCCTTTTTGGCCCCTGAGGAGCTCTGCCACCAGCCCACAGGGAAGCGTGCTGTCTGGGTCCTGCCTGTGCGCTACCCTGGCTTTGGGGTTGTGCTGGAAGCAAGGGAGGTCCTTGGGGCGTGTGGTGGGTGAGCTGGAAGGACGAGGGAGAAGGATGTGGATGGAGGCCCCTGTCCCTGGCCATGTAGGGAGGCTGGGGTGGGGGCCAGGCTGGGGTCCCGGCCACCGAGCAGGTGCAGGGCGCTCACGCCCGCGGGTCCTCCGCCTCCGGGAGAACCTGGGGTGGGGGGCGACGAGAGCCTCCCTCACACGGAGCGCTGTGTGCCTGCTTGTCCCAGGTGAGCCTGAGCAAGGTGGGCGAGTACTGGTGGAGCGCCGTCCTGGAGGGCGAGGAGCACATCGACATCGACAAGATCAACAAGGAGCGCTCCATGGCCACGGTGGACGAGGAGGAGCACGCCGTGCTGGACAGGCTCACCTTCGACTACCACCAGAAGCTGCAGGGCAAGCCGCAGAGCCACGAGCTGGTGAGGGGCGTGTGGGTGGGGGCGCTGGGGGCCGCTGCGGGGGGGTCTGCCGCAGGGTCCTCTCCGGGGCTGTGGGGCGGGGTGCCGTTTCCACCGTGCTCAGAGCCCGAGGGGGCGGGGCTGGGACGCGCAGCTGGTCCACACAGACGTGGGACCGCGCACGTGAGGCCGGCTCTCTGGGGTTGCGGGGGTGTGGGGTGCCCAGACAGCCCCTCCCTGAGCCCCGGGAGGACCCTCCGCAGAGTTGCGGGGAGCCAGGCCCAGCCTTGCCGCAGGGCCCTCGGGAAGAAAGAAAGAATCCTTCCGAGTCACCTTGGAACGCCGGAGGAGGGGCAGGAGGGGTCTGCGTGGGCAGAGGGCAGAGGTCGTCCACACTGTGCGCAGGCAGAGGTCCACGGCGCGCAGCACGTGCCGGGGGTGGGAACGCAGGTTGGCCGGGCGCGCTCGCTCTTCTTGTGTGGCGCTCCCACAAGTGGCCGCCTCAGCGAGGAAGGGTCGCTTCCCTCCGGCTCGTGTGCGCCCCTCAGTGTGACGGGCAGTGGCCAGGGCCCGTCTCGCGGGGGCCGGGTTCCTCGTTTGTCCCACCTGTGTCGACGCAGGGCCCCCCCCCATGCCACTCAGGGTTGAGGCGTCCTCACTGGTCCTCCCTGTGTCGCTCCTGCCGCCCTTTCCTCAAGGCCCCCACGCAGACAGCCTCGTTCCTGCGACGGTCACTCAGGGAGTGCGACTGCACGCTGGTCGGGCAGGGCTGGCTGGGTCATGGACTGCAGTGCCCCTGAGAGGAGCGTCAGGTGCTGGTGCCAGCTCGTGTCCAAGGTGGCCGGGTGGCTCAGGCACCAGGGCTGTGGCACGGATCCCGAGTTGGCTCCTGCTTCAGTCCTCCTGCCCCGAGTCTCCGAACCTTCCCCTGGTCGTGCTCCCTGACCACCTGGGCCTATAGGTGATCTCCCACTGTCGCAGCCAAGCTCCCAGGTGGGGGCCTTGCCCTCGTGGGCATTGGTGGCCGCCTCGGGCCGTTACGGGACTGCTGCCTGTGGCCACCGGAAGAAAGCCGTGTGCACTCGGGGCCATGGAGGGGCCCCGAGCACCGCCGCCTGCAAGTGGCCGGGCTCCCAGGCCCACATACGCCTGCGTGGGGAGCAGGAGGCTCTCGCCGACGGGCCCAGGGACAGACACTCGATGGGGACGTATCTGAAGAAGAGCTTTAGCGGTGCTGCCATCTCACGGACAGGTCTCTGTGCCTCGAGTCAGAAGGGGGCCCCGCGAGGACTTGACGTGTGCCAGGGGCAGCGTGCGGCCCTGGGGCACGTGCGTGCTAGGCACTCTGAGCCCACACGGGGGATCCGGGGGCTGCTGTACCCCTTGCCCAGGAGACCCGCTCTCGAATGGCTGGCACCACTACTGCCGTCCAGGATTCCTCTGGGCTCAGCAGGGATTTGGGGAGGGTGTGTGCACACGTGGACTGTCCTCGCACGTGGCTGTGAGGGACGCATCGTGTGGGGAGCGGGTTCGGACCACGAGCACGAAGGCAGGAGCACTGTGCCGGGAGCTGGTGGTGAGGGAGCCAGATCTGGGGAAGCTTATGGCCATGGACGTTTGAACTGGAGGAAGCAGGTCCCCGGGAGAAGTAGGAAATGTGGGGGCAGGGGGTCAACAGGACTGGCTGGTGGCTCCCAAGGAGATAGGGCCTGGGGATGTAGTGGGGGGGGAGCAGGAGTTGGACGACCCTGGGTGGCCCCAGTACACAGTCCTCACCAGTGGTCAGGGCTCACGTGGGGCTCCTGTCCCGAGAGTGGCTGGCGGGTAAGGGGCTTGGAAGGGGGCAGCAGGAGCTGGAGAGGAGGGTTGGTTGGGCCTGTGAGGGGCTGGGGTGCTTTCCAGGCCCTCGGTGCGGTTGTGTACCCCAGGTCGGCAGAGGTCCGTTAACCTTGGCACGTGTCGGCCGTGCTCGCGGCTGCACCACTGAGCTTAATGCCGAGGGAGAGGGGCCGTGGGCAGGAGGCACGGCAGATCCTCGTGTGCAGGATGGGAGTGAGTGCCGTTCTGGGCCCTGCGTTAACCTCTGTGTCTGTTTTCTGTTTGTAGAAAGTCCATGAGATGCTGAAGAAGGGCTGGGATGCTGAAGGCTCCCCCTTCCGAGGCCAGCGATTCGACCCGGCCATGTTCAACATCTCCCCGGGGGCCGTGCAGTTCTAGTGCCCGGAGGAGAGGGAGCGCGCCCCGGGCTCCCTCCTGCCAGGGACTTGCTGGCGGGTTTGCCCTCGCCGTCGTTGCTCTCCAGGGTGGACCCGCGGCGCCCGGCGCTGCATCTCTGGACTGTTGGGAGCAGCACGGGGCGAGCGGGACGCCGCCACCCACTCTCCTCTGGCTGCTGTGCGCACGCTCTGCTTGCTTTCCTCGTGCTGGGGGCTGGGCGTGGGTGCCGGGCCAGCTGCTGACCTGCGGGGGGTGGGGGGCGCCCTGGCCGTGACCTCTTCCTGCACCTGTGCGCGTGTGGTGTCGCTTGGCGTTTGTATGCGTCCGCTGCCTGCTCAGCCCCGTCACAGAGCAGCAGAAGGTGGGTCCTGGTCGCTGCTTCTGAACCTGGGGACACAGCCCTGAGTGGCCACAGGCGCAGCAGGAACTGTCCTCCACATCTTCTCATGGGACCCAGTTCTCGTCAGAGAGCCAACCTGGTGTCCTCGGGAGAGCAGAGCGCGGCGCCCCTCCTCCTGTGTCCGCTGTGCCCCTGCTCCGCCAGCTGGGACCGTGGCATGTTGGGCTGTCGGCCAGCGGGTCTCTCGAGGCCTCCCCTCGTGGCTCTGTCCTTCCGGCTGACAGGGACTCCTTTTTGGGTGATGGTCCTTTTGGGAACAGCCCCCGTCACCCGAGTAGGTGGGAGCTGGCTCGTCAGTCCTGTGGGGGCAGGTGTGTGGCTCGCGGAGGCCAGAAATGGGTGGGGATTCCTGAATGCCTCCTTCCCAGTATCCCTGGGAAGCCTCGGGTGGCTCTGGTGCTGTCAGGGGAGGTGCAGACACCAGGTCGCTGGCGGGGAGCATTGTCGGGGATGCGGAGCCCTGTCCCCTGTAGTCGGCTCTGCGGCCGGTCATGGAGCTGCTGAGACTCGTCCTCGGGGCCTCTGGGATGTGCACGCCTGTCCCACGTCACCGGCACCTTGTGTGAGAACTGTTCTGGGTGGTCTCGGGCCCTGGGCCGCACCGTGAGGGTCTTCTGGCATGACGAGGCGTGGCGTGCGCCTGCACCCCAGCTGCTTGGGAGACTGGGGAGCCATGGACTCTGTGGTCCCTTGTCTCCCCCGTCTCACATTATTGTCAGTGTTGGTTTCTGCCCGTCCTGCCTGTCGTGACAGTGGCTCCCCGGCGTCTGGGAGTGGTGGGCCGGGCTGAGGTGCTGGTCCGCGCGGCGGAGGGCGGGCTGTCCTCATGGGCGTCCTCTGACCCTTGCTGCTGGCCTGGGCCCTGGAGCCGGTGCAGCCTGCGTGTTTTCTCTCTCCAGACGCGGCCGCCGCCGATCGGCCACTGAGTTCTGTCAGCCGAGGTCCGCGGAGAGCAGGGTGCCCGTCTGTGAAGTCCCTCTCCAGTGTCGGTTTGCAATAAATCTGTGTTTAAGCACCGTGGTGTCCGTGTGTGTCATTTGTTGCTGAGACTTCTGTGTGTGCGTGTGGCTGTTTCCGGAACTCCAGCCCGCTCCATACAAAGCAGACCCCAGAGTGGGGGATTTCTGTGTCTTTGGAACATCACTTGTCTCTGACGTGTGATTTTCAGAAGATCAGAGGTTTTGATCTAGAAAAAAGGATTGCGGCTGCAGAGCTCACACGGGTTTCCAGCAGGTCCTGAAAACCCAAGGTGAGCACAGGGTTCCGAAGCCTCCACCAGAGGACCCCTCCCCCCGCACCCCGTGGAACAGCGCTGGCCCCGCTGTGCTGGGCTCTCTCTGCCTGCACCCTCGCGGGCACCGTGGGATCGTGTCACCCCCATCCCTGGGGACCGTGCTCAGTGGGCAGGACCTGGTGGTGCTTCTTGAATGAGTGGAGGGAGTATGCATGGTTCGTTAGCACGCAGATGTCCAGGCCTAGGCATAACTCACCGGGGACGAGTGGCCCCATCTTTCAACAGTTTGCTCCAAAGTGTGTGGGAGGGTGAACAGTACGTGTTCCGTGTGGAAATGCGTCTGGGAAGCGGCAGCGGCCGTGCCAGGGTGCCCACCTGTGTGCCTGGTACTGCCCGCCTAGGGACAGACCCGAGGCCACCCGACCCGGGTCTGCTGCACGGGCAGGCTGGTGCTCTCATGGACGTGGTTGGACACTCATCCCAGCTTCTGGTACCGTCTGCCTCCACCCCGCTGTCTGCTCAAGCTGGTGGTCTTCTCGCTCGCTCTGACTCCTTGCACCTGGCCTGCCGTCAGAGGTCTGCTTGGTGCGGGGCCCCAGAGCTGCCCAGGCCTCGGCCACTGAGTGCAAAGCCGGTGCCGCCTCGTGTCCTCTCCCGCTACGGACAGCAACAGCCCTTGCCCCCAGCATGCTTTGAGGGGTTGGGCTGCTGCTGCCTGCCTGGACGGTGTTGGGGGGCAGGACCAGTTCATGGACACTAGCCGACGTGGGACAGAGTCATGCCCCGGCTGTGGACAGGAGCCCCGGCAGCCTGGTGTGGTTGTCTGGGGTAGGTGCTGTCCTGCTGGGCTGGCCCGAGACTGCTTTCCCTGAAGGAGGAAACCAGGCCAGGCCTCTGACTTTCTCTGTCCTGCTGCTTCCCATGCTTTCTTGCCAGAGGCGGATGGACTTTTGGGGACATTCTGATCCAAACGCTGTATGATGGCCACAGAGAAGTGATGCCCTGAGGCTTGAGTTGGACCCACTCCTGCCCCACACCCTGTGGCGCCTGCTGGCTCCTTGCTCCAGCCCCACGGCGCTCCCCTGCTTCTGCCGTCCATGCAGCACAGGCCTGGCACTGAAGGACGCTCTGCAGGTGGGGGGTAGGCCCCCGATGTCATTTGCCAAGTGAACCAATGGCCCAGGCGCCCCTCTCCAAGGAGGGGTCCCAGTGTGGCTATGGAGATCGAGTAGCTGGAGGCTTCTCCCGCAGGGCAGGGGGTTTGAGAAGCTGCCCAGGTGGTAACCTTCCAGGGGTTGGGGCCAGGACGGTCCTGTGGCCTGGGGAATGTCTCCTGGTGGGCTGCAGCAGGGGCCTAAGGAGCCGTCCAGCACGTGCCGGGCCCGAGGAGGGCTTGGCTTCACTGGCACCTGTGTGTGAGGCGGGGAAGGTGCCGCCGCCCTGCGGATCACCTGTCAGCCTCCAGGGCTGAGCGGGCCACAGAGGGGCCGCCGGAGGCAGAGGCTGGGACATGGAGTAGGGAACTATCTTGAGCCGCGCTGTGAGAGCAGCCACAGGGCTGGGGGAGAGGTCTCATCCTGCCACACAGCTCCGTGGGCTCCTCCTCCCCCAGACAGGGTGCTCCAGACCCCTCCCTGTCTAAACCCCCAGGCACTTGGGCGCCTTGCCCACCCTGTGTCCAGACCACCCTCCTGCCAAGACATCAGATGTAGAGTTTGGGGGCACACCGCTGGAGACCACCTCTGGTGGGGAAAGTGGTGGGGCTCAACCTGGCCCCCTGGGGCCCCTGACTCTGCCCTCCAAGCAGCGGCTTCCTTGAAGACTCCCTTGGGGATACCTGGCTGGCTCAGGACTGCCCCATGAGCCAGGTGCGTCCCTGCTTTTGTCTCTAGACGGCTGTGTCAACCCCCTTGGTTAAGGCGAGGCAGGCGGTGTTTCTGGAGCACCAGACGCATCATCAGAGGCCACGAAGGGCATCCTGGGTACCCGTCGGTCTCAGCGGGGATTGTCAACGCCCCGATGCCAGCCACAAGGTGGTGTGCACCCCGTGTTTACAGGTGAGGTAAGTGGCTCATCAGAACTCCAGGTGATCGGGGCCAGTGACGGGACTGGGGAGGGTTCAGCAGGTCACGCGGAGCACCGCTCCCCTCAGGGCCAGGAGGGGGGATGGAGAGGTCCCACCAGCTCAGGACTTGAAGGTGAGGGTCAGGCCTTAGCTTTGACCCCAATTTCTGAAGTCTGGGGCAGGGAGCAGCTTCTGATGTGCACTGGAGAGGAGAGGCCCTTGCCTGGCAGAAAGGTGCAGGCCGGTGCCCGGGTGTGCAGGATGGCAGGTCCTGCAGGGGCACCTGTCAGCCCCTCCAGGGCCCCCCCTGTGGGCGCTGTGACCACACAGACGTCCACCCCGGAAGCTGTGTGCACCTGAGGGGCTCCTGACCCCACCCCAAGCCAGAGGGCACCATGGAGGTGTGGATGGGCCTTCTGCTCCTCCGTGTCCTTGGCTGCAAGATCGTCCCACACAGAGGCCTCATCACCGGGGGGTGCACTGTCACTGGGGGTGGGATGCTGCCCCCTTGCCTCCAGGAACCCCCTGAACCCCACAGACCCTTGGTCCAGCCACCAGAGTGTGGTGCAGCTGTCACTACTACCCCCTCCTTCAGAGAGGGCCGCCCCTCCCCACTCGCTCAGGGCTGCCTTCCTCCCCGACCTCTAGGCACCCACGCCCTTAATGATACTGTGCCTCGGGGCCAGTTCCCTACCGTCGTAACTATGTTCAGGTGCATGGAGCACGTTGCCCTGGTGTAGCCGCCACCGTCCGTCCATCTCCAGAACCTTCTCATCTTCCCAGAGGGAAACTCCATACCCATTACAGTGTCTTTTCATTTGTTGCTGGTGTTGAAGATGAGGTTTTTCCAAAAGTTCCGATTTCTGGGTTCTCGTAAACTTGGGAGCCAGCCAGGTCCGGGCAGCTGTGGCTGTGGTGGAGGCAGAGCTGACCCCACGGCCCCACCACGCCGCCTGCTTACCACGGGCTCCCCTGTGACCCACCTATGGAAGGGCGGCCTCTCCCCCACCAGCCTGGCCCTGTGTGGGGCCCAGCTGGGCGCCCTGGCCTAGGGGATGGCCCAGGTAGGTTCCGGGGACAGGGATGTGCTTAGGGCACAGGGGCCAGAGGGAGGGGCCTTGGGTGCTGTGCGGACAGGGCTCTGGGGTTCGGTTGCAGGCAGAGGGAGGGGCTGGACCAGATGCAGCACAGGAGGCACACGGTGGCAGGTCCCCTCTGTGGCCACAGAGGCTGGAGCTCCATTTCAGGTGCCATCGGTCCTAGCCTATGACCCAGGACAGGTGAGGGGCCACCCAGAATGGAGAAGTGGCCAGGCCCTGCGTCTCGGCCCCCACGAGGGGGCAGTAGGGGCATTGGGTCTGTAGGAGGTGGCAGGCTGTGAGAGGCAGACCTGTGAGAGGGTCTCCCCCGCCCCTGAACCTGGGTCGTGTCCCCTTACGTGGTAATGGCAGGCCAGGGGTCCTCGCTGACCCCTCTTCAAAGGGGCCGGAGGCTCAGGGTTGGAGAAGGGAACGTGACCTCGAAACGGGGGGTGGGATGATGCGTCCCTAAGTGGAGCAGGCAAGGGGGTGCTCCCGCCTTGATGTCAGACGTCCTTCTTCCAGAGCTAAGGCCAAACCTGTGTGAGGTCCCTGAGCCTGTTGGTTACAGCAGTCCCAGAAACTCCTCTGCGCCAGGCTGTTGCCTTGGGCACGAGGGCCCTGGTCATGGAGGGATTGCTCCCGATGGCTGTGGCTTCTGCCCTGTACCCTGTGTTGCCCAGTCCCCAGCCGGCATGGCTCGGCCGGGGGTCGCCCAGCACCATGACCAAGGTCCAGACCTACGCCTGCCCCACAGTCCTGGCAGGTCTGAGTCTGGCAGAGCCTCTGTCAGTCTAGTCAGGTCCTGAGAGCCTGGGGGTGTTGAGGGGGGTGGTGGTGTGGGAAGGGGCGGCCCCAGCAGAGCCTGTGTAGGGGTCCCAGGATGGCAGAGGGGTGGATTCTGACCACCCCACCCCCCTCCTACTGGCCGATGCCTCAGAAAAGCAGGATCCCAGCGTTCGCGCTGGCCAGCGGGATGGGGAGCGCAGGGGGGAGCTCCACACACAGCTAGGGGCTGTCTTCCTCACTTGAGCAGATGGGGTCTGGGGCAGCTTCTGGGTCAACTTCTAACTTCTGATTTGGAGATAGAGTTGGGGCTCCAGCAGCACAGGGGGTCCCAGCCACACAACTTTGGACCCCCTCAAGCCACCACACCACCTGGCTGTTGTCCGAAGCCATGTTGATAGCGTAGCCATCGGTGAACACGCACTTTGTGTGTCATGTAGTGCATGCTGCGTTCTCGCCGTGCGGGAAGCCGGGAGACCAGCACTAAGGAATCATCCATTTTGAGTCTATTTT